TATCTCAGAAGGCATACCACTTTCATAGAGGCTATGCTGGCATTATTTTGGCATCAGATGTGAAGTGAACCAAAATCCTGTCGGCATGAGATTTTTTATTGCAGGTAAGAACCAGCTTGATGTACACACAGAGGATATCAGGACTTGCATACTCTGCCTTGAAAACATCCTGCAATCTTTCTTTCACTGGATGCCATAAAATCCCTGTCTATACGAGCAGACCTAAGGATGGCTGGGTACCTGCTCCCATGAAAAAAACGGTACATGCACAACTGCATCTGTAATCACAGAGTTAATTGAAGTCCCTGCTCTTGGGATGACAGCACATGGAAAATAGTCTCTATAGCCACCAATGACTAGTTCACAAGTCACATTTCTTAATGGAAGCACATACCAAGGCGAAACCATGACTTCTCATGAGGACTGACCCTCCCCATCCAAAGGAATGAACGATATGGCTATAATGGACAGTGCTATTATTGCACTGATACAGTAGGGACAAGTATCCCAGCTTCAGTGTTGCTACACAAAAGACTGTTTCCAGGGTAAAGCAAAGCGTGCTGCTTATATACTGCCCATAGTGCTTCAAGCACTCTCTGGGCGGTTTACAAGTTAATTATGCAGGCTACACATTGCCTCCCCAGCAAGCTGGGTACTCATTTTACCAATCTCGGAAGGACAGAAGGCTGAATCAACCTTGAGCCAGTTACCTGGGATGGAACCCGAGGTCATGAGCATAGTTTTGGCTGCAGGACAGCAGTTTAACCACTGCGCCATGAGGGTATCAACAGCCATCCATCCATCTATAGTCCCTCATTAGCCACTCTTGAGCTTTAACTTCTTGTTGACCACTCTGATCCATGGGGTGAACTTTGCAAACTTTGTCTTGCTCCTTACATTTTGTGTTATTAGAGATCTCTACAGATCTTGCTCGATGAGTGCTTCTTATTTTTATATGGGGAAAATAGCGAAGGGGCAAATGTTCAAAAGAGGCAGTGAGAAATGCTGATTTAAAGAACAAGCAAGGTAATGACTGTTAAAGGCAATATTGCGTAACACTCACAAGCACATGAAGGGCACCAGCAGCCAACTACTACTAACGGCCACAATGATCAACAATGCTCAGAGCAGAAGCAAGCAGTGTGGATGTAACTCAACTTTTGAACAGACATTTGAGGTTATTAGTTTAGTTATTTGCATCATGTGAGCACACCTGGTTGATCACACATTGCTTTTGGAAAGATTTAAGATATTTTCCTTAAGTAGCCATTCTAAATTACAAAATGCATAAATTTAGGGAATCCCTTTAATCACAATGAACGAGGATGTGCAATTAATAATACTTGTGAAAGCCCACAATTGTAGGCTTTCTCCCTAAAGAATGGTGCATTTTTAGTTTCAAACTAACACAAATTACTATATTTTCCTCACAATAGCACTGAATTTTTTTTATGAAGTGCTCCATTTCTGAAAGGCAGACATGATGGATTGAAATAAAAGATAATTTATTGGAATGCTTACTTTCACGCACAGGGAGAAGCAGTGTAATTGTAATTTACAGTAGCTGTCAAAGAAAATCTATCACAGATGACATTAAAATGACTTATTTTGCCTGAGCCACTTATTGTTTAAATGTGCATAATCGGATAGAAACAGATTTCTTTTTTAAAAGTCTGCCTTTGTATTGTTCTAAGTTAATATCAAAACATATATTTATAAGTTAAAACATTGAGAAACCATTTATTGATACTCTTATCTTAGTAATTTTAACTACAAATTGGCTTGATTTAAGTATAACTATGTTTGCATTTGTTTGGCTCTATGCAATCACTTTTAGGGATTTTAATTCATTATTTCAGAAACCGTAATTTGTATAGGATGTTAACCAATACAAAAGAAAAATCCCATAAGGTATGTAGTGTATATGTGTACATGTGTACCTGTGTGCACACATGCGCACACACATTCTCTCTCAGGCAACACAAATGGACTGAAGAAAAAAGATGCTGGTTTCCTTTGCTTAGAAAGTTACTAACCTGCACTGTCATTTTGCAAATTTATTCATTTGCTTGGTTTAACTTCCTATAAGATATGCTATGGTTCTTTTTTACTCTAGCCACCAAATTAAAGAAGATTCTATTTTCCAAATTCATTCATATCCATCCTATACATTGGTATAATATGTTTTCTATTGCAAACATACTGACTACATCTGTAGGAAGAAAGAGCACTTCTAGAGCTTCATAGGTCTCTCTGCTAAGACTAGAAAGGAAGAATAGAAGCTGTATCTTTTCCCCCGCTAAATTCTAATTCCGCATACAGCAACATAAAAAACAAAGCCTACTGAGTACTATAGGTCAGCTGTAGGGAGGTTTGAACAAAACTAGCACATTTAAAACACAGAATGCAGTCTAAAGAGAGGGGAGAGGGAGCCCAGATGATCACCGTCTTTTTACTGCATGTGCAGTTGTGACTACGGACCAATCCTGATTAATTTGCTTTTCGACAGAGCTTTGCATACACATTTACATGCTGTGAAAATACCGACCTCTGCATCAAAACAGTAATAGTAACAACAACAACAGCAGCAGCAACAACAAAAATAATAGTCATCATCATCATCAAAAGGGGAAGGAAGGAAGGAAGAGGGAGCAGAAAAGAGAGACCAATGTCTCTTTCAATTCTGCTCTTCTCTTTTTCTTTCTTAAAAAAAAATACAACTAGAATTAATGTAGTGAATCTAATGAAACACATTATCCTGCATGGAGATTTATCAGATTTTCCGAGTGAATGCTGTCCTTTGCGAGCAGTGGCTGGAGTTCACCTGCATGTTGGTGTGGCGTGTGGCTCTTTTTTGTAAAGAGTTAAGTCGTACACAAAAAAGGGGAACAAAGGTCAGCACCCAGTCGCCACTTGAATGTGAGATTTTTCTTTTTATTCCCCTTGATGTATACTAGGCTCCGTGTTATTAGTCTTAATGATGGAAAATTGTAGTGTTGATCCAAATCTTTTTTTCAAAGTAGTAGGCGGGAGCTCCATTTGTTAGTAAGTTTTTTTGTGACTAAAAGCCACGGACAGTACATTTATGTAGCAGTAAAAGGCCTAGATGCTCTTTCCATAGCAGAGCTAATTATTCCCACTGTGACCTTCCTGATCTACCCTATTCCTAGTACATCTCATCTGCACGCCTGTTCCTCTGTGTAGATGGTGTCAGAGAATATGAAAAACCCTATAATGAAACCATTTTCATGATGGAGAAAGGCTACTGGAGTTGCACTTGCTACAAAGAGGCTCAATTATATGAGTAATTGTGATAATTTTCTGCATTCATAGCCTTCAATGGGGGGGAAAAGAATGAGAGCCACAAAGGAAAATTACTTTAACAAGAAAGTACAGAGAGTAAAAATGGAAGAAGAGACAAAAAAAGGGGGGGAGGAGAGGGAGAGAGAAAAAAATAAGCAGGAAGGGGGGAAAAAGTTTAAAAAAATTAGATGTGGCAGGGAGGAATAGCAAGACAGGGAGAACAACAGAAATGTTCAAAAAGCCTATGTGCAGCTGTGTTGCACAATTAAATTGAATTTTTTTTTCTCCTGCAGTTGATGAATGTGACTACTGCAAATGTGCCTCTGTAGTTAGCTATCATTTGTTGTTCCGTGACAGGAAAAGGATAATTACCTCTCAGAGAGAATCAAAGGCTGACATGCCCTTTAGACACAGCCATGAATGCAGTGCTCGAGAGAATGCTTGAATAAGAATCTCGTCTTCTGTGCCCCTTCGACTCAAGAATAAATTTTGTTAAAATGCAAGAGCCACCACCAGTAAATTTGTTGAACCCTAGGTGTTCAAAAATACAGAGGTGCCTCCATAGACTCATCCCATTTGCAAAAATAAAACTACATTCTGAATTCACTTCTATTATATTCATGGACAGTAAGATAGTGAGATATGCATTAAATTTCTTTTCACAGTAGGGGTCTGATTCAACATTTCCTATGAAAGAACAGAAAGACACTCTCCTTTTTCCCCCAGGCTAGTTAGCCTGTAATTTAAAACTGTCAAAAACACAATTTTATATAAAGTCTTCAATAAAAGCTTCTCAGATATAACCCAAAGTGGTTTTACTAAAGTTTGATTCAGACTCTGTTACAATATTTTTAAAGCTATAAATAACATCAAACTGATATTTTGCTGCTCTCTTTTCTTATTTCTCTTAAAGTATCTGAAGATTCATACAGGGGGTGGGGAGAAGACAGCATCTGCTCAGGGTTCTGAGGAAGCCACGTTTCACAGACATCCAGATTCACCCAACTCCCCCACCACCAAATAGCATTTGTAAACATATTAATGAAAGGGTGCAAGATGCAGCTTCAAGAGAAAATTGTTCAGATGTCGTAAAAGAACTCAGTAATAGGTTTTAATCAAGGGGAACAGGATTGGCCACTACAGTTTTATTGTGCTGCACTACGGTTGATGCCTTTCCCCTAAAAGGAGTGGGGAACTCCTAATGAGAGTTCTCCCTCCTTTATATTTATTTATTTGCATTTGGGTATTAATAAAAGAAATATTTATAAAAAGGTTATTTCTAAACACTGAATGATTTTAAGCTTTTTTTGGTTATCAGTTTCTCCTGGCACTAATGCACTCATTCCAGAATATATTTATTATGAACGAATATATGAGCCCCACCTCTAATATTCCTATGACGATTTAATTAAGACACACAACAAAACACCAACCACTGAATCATACCTGTGTCCAGTTTTACAGATGTCTTTGGCTCTTTCTACAGGTATCTCTGCTGATCCTACCTGGTGTAATTTACTTTTTAAAAAATCCTTTCTTACCCAGAGAACAGCATTACAGCCTGGCAGTTCACATCGTGATATCAGACTGAAATGATGGTTATGAATCATAAAACATGTCATCAGCTTTATACCAAACCACCAATAACCTTTGTCCCACTTGCCAGCCTTCCCTTTACTTGTCACTGTAAGGCTTACCTGATTGTGTTTCCAATTACAGAGAAAGGAGCCCCAGGTTCACAAGCTGCTATTGCTTCGTCTCGACATTTCCTGGCAACCTCCACTGACTTTTGACCAGACTCATCCACATGGCCCACTAAAATTGTTTCGGAGGTGTCACCATGGTAGCCGTTGAAATACACCTGAAACACAGGCAGAAATGTAAAGGAGTTTGGGGGTGACTCACTAAGAGCACCACAAATGAAGTACATTCTTGGGTTTCTTTCATGTGCATTTAAGGTCCACGTGCAATACATTAAAAGCACAAAAAACAGAGTAGAATAAAGAATGGCATGGGGGGAATAAAGAGTTCTTTTCTATACACTTCATAATTTACAATAATGTGAAGACCGTCAGTGCTAAGCAAGACTTCAAGTACAGGAATTCTTCACAGCTGAAAGCCACAGAGATCAAGGTTGCCAATTAAGTCTCTAGTCTTCTTGAGCCTTTGGGATAATCAAATCCCAAGGAAGTCAATCTGGTTTTAGTGGTGCAGTTCTGTGGCTAAACGTGCAAAACGTGCATAACACAGAAGTGAGGACTGTGAAAGCGAAAAGCAAGGGACAAGCTTTCTGTCATGTAAAAAAATTGGGCTGAGGTGTGTGGGTGAAAAACAGAATTACGCTTTAGCCACAGCTGTGATACAGGCCTAAAGACAAGCCGCTCTATCTTACAGAGCTCATGGAAATTCTTTTTTCTTAGCTTCCTGCTGGCTGGTGGACTCTGGGTGTTGTAGTACACAAAAATAACTTTAGAAGCTCTGCTATTTTCCGCTGTGGATTTAAGCTGACCTTCCTATTTCATGTCAGTAGCCTAGCATACTGAATATAAATAACTTTGAATCCCACACTGCTTGGACAGAACACATTCCCTTTCATCACAGGCAGAGGCAGCCCTGGTCACTTTCAATGTGATCCACTGCAGCCTTCATCATCTCTGACCATTAACCATGTTGGCTGTGGCTGGTGGGAACTGGAGTATGTGGGGCATGCAAAACGGACAAAATAATGGCAGAAAACATAAAGTGATGTCAATGACCAACAATGGTACCCCTAGACTAGACAGGACCAAATGTGGGTGTTAAGAGCTTTTCAAGACTACCACATCAGAATCTTTATGCCTTATGAGGATACTGTGTTGTTATTTATTTTCCATTGCTTTTAAAATGGTTTTGCAGCTGCTGGCTGCCTTGCACAAATGCACGTGCAGGATAAATATAGCATATACCCTCTAGCATACCGTATGTCTTGCAGAATGTACTGTGTTAAAATAATATTTTTAAAATAGATTAAATCACAGTTAGTGTGAACAGCTACAGTTTCAATACGCATGAGACATCCTTATTTGAAACATTTAAAAATAGCTTCTCTAACCATTTACTGTTATGGAGATTTGTTTACATATTGACTTTTTTCTTTAACAAGACGGGAAAACAAGTAATGGTACCTTTTATCCTTTCAAGAATTATAACAGAGATGAATGCTCTCAGACAAAAGCTTTACTTTACCATAATGCAACCAGGACTTTATCAGTAAATAAATAATTTTAAGCTACAGCACTCTACAGATTTCTCAACGGACAATTCCACTTCTAGCACTGTGGAGTCTTGCTGTCTGCTTTTAAGGAGCCATATACAGTACAGTATAGGAGCTGACAGCCTGTGAAAATATAAGAAGCACTGGCTACCACTTTATCAAATGTTTCTTCCTGAATGTACATGGAAGCTACTCTTCTGAGACCGATCCCATATAAAGCCAAAGGCTCGCATGTTTAGGGCCCTAAGAACAGCTCCTCCCACTTGCTAAGAAGAGATGGTGATACTAAAAATATTGTAAATTAGGTGCAATCCAGAGACATTTTGGCATGCCTTCCCCTATTACCAGTGTGACTGCATACCCTGTTTCCCCAAAAAGACCTAACCTGGAAATAATCCCTAGTAGGAGTTTTCAGGATGCTTGTAACATAAACCTAACCCCCAAAAATAAGCCCCAGTTAAGTGAAACCCTATGCTCCACCCTTGTGCAGCAACCAGAAGAAGATGACATGACTGTATTTGAATAAATGTAGATTGTTGTACATGAAAAAAAAACATCCCCTGAAAATAAGCCCTAATGCATTTTTGGGGCAAAAATTAATATGTGTCTTATTTTCGGGGAAACAGGGTATTTATTCAAAGGTTAAATTCTACTGCATTCAAGAATATTTATTCCCTGATAAGTGTATACAAGGTTAGAGCAATATGATCCAGCTAGATCTATTGTATATTTACATGGAAACAAACATTACTGTATTCAACAGGACATGCTTCCAGGCATGAGCATCTAGGACTGTAATCTGATAATTCAGTTTTAAGCACACTTATTAGAGAGTAAGTATTTCTGAACACTGGCGGAGGGAAGGAAAGACCACTGGTGGCCCATAGCTTGGCTGTCACCTGGAGAATCTTCCATTTGGCCCATGACTTCCCATTCCCTACCCCACGCACTCCCCACTCACCTTAAGGCTAAAGCAGGGCTTCCTTATACTCAGGGCTATGAAGGCCTCAACTATCCATTCCAGTCCCAGGCTCGATTACTAGGAAGTGTCCTACTGAACTCAGTGAGACTTTCAACCTGAGTGGGCAACCTATGGGTCTTCATACATTGCAAGGCAGCAGTTCCAACCTCCTTCCCCCACCATGGGCAATGCTGTCTAAGGCTGCGGGAAATGGCAGTTCAGCAACTTCTGCAGGACAAGTTGCCCTTCCATGTAAGATCTCACTGAAAATATCACTGACTAAAATTCCCATGTTTCTGTATTCTGTTCAACTCTATTTAGAAGTAAGTCCAGTTTGGTCCAGTGGGACTAAACTCCTACACAGATTTAGGAAGGAATTTTAAAATTCTCAAGATTGTACACAGTTCCATCAGAATGAGTCTGGGTAATAACATACTGTACCATCAGTGTTTCATTAATTGCTTCAATTAATTTTAAGAAACAGAAACCAAGAGATGCTGGCTCTTCCTTCACACACTTAAGGGAGCGGTCTCAAACTTTTGCTCTATGCAATACAAGTTCAACAGCATTTTCCAGAACTTGCAAGTTATTTTTTTCAAAATTAGTGTATCACTGATTTCTCAAGATATTTGTTAACATTTTAAACTCATGATCTTACAGTATTTTTATATAAACTGTTCCCAATTCAAGCATTATTGTGGACTTAGAAAACAAGACATCATATTTCTTATACTGTACTGGTAAAGCTTTGTATGTTAACTAGAGCTACAAATTATTATTCATAATTTGATACAGAAACAACTCCAGTAAATAAAACACACCAGCTTTGTCCAAGTGTCCATGCTAAAATGGTGACAGTCTGTTAAAATATGGGCTAGACCTACATAATCATTATTGGTTAAAGAATTATAATATCCTAGCCAACAAAGTCCAAATAACCGGTTTCTGCAATTCTTTAAATACTATAAGAAGACCAGGTTGTGGCAGGGTAAAATAAAATTCTTTCCACTCTGGTCTATATTTCCGCCAACAAATTAATACAGCAAAATTATGTGTGGTTTGTTATTCCTAGATAATATGCACTCACAGAAGATCATTTACATTTGATAAATGGAAGATTATTATTTAATCATTTTATAGATCTTGTATGCATGCATAAACAAATTATTGTCGAATGCCATCTACTATAATTGTCCTTCTTTTGGTCCATAATTATTGTTTCTACTTATGAAATGGGCCAGTTATGCCCAATAGAAAGGTCAATTATAAATGCTGCCAAGAAAGATATGAATTATTATAGATGAACAATACTTTCTAGGGTACTAATCATTATACCAAAAGAAAAATAATCAATAACTGTAGGAAGCAGCTATTCCTGTACATTTTACCTAATATTTTATATTAAATGCAGACACGTTATAATAACAAAACACTTGAAAAAGAGTGTTCACAAAATGTTTACAGTACACTTAGATATTACTTCAAAAGGAGAGGTGATAGCACTGAGATTTGTTTAGGATTTGGTTGACAGCTATGCATGAATCTTCAATATAATAATGGCTTTGTGGAAATAAATAAAAAATTAATAAGTACTATATTTTCAAGCACTATTTCATGCAAACCTAAGTAGAGAGTGGGGTAATTCAGCCTGTGAAAGTAGCATGTGGGCAATTTAATCTTACCCTGCTCAGGTGCAACAAGCACCACATTTAGCAATTAATTTTTTTAACACTGTTGTTACACATAACAGGAAGAGAGGGCAATTTAAGGATAGACGTCTGCCCTCCCCAACTCCCATGTAGTAGCAGGGTTTTTTTAAATGACTGCTAACAGACACAAGGGGAAAGGGGGAATGACTGAGAAGTGGACTACACCTCTTCTCTCTCTATGTTGTGGTCCCCATCCATGTCAGCCCTCCATGCCTACTTGTGAGACAAATAAGATGCAAAAAGACCTGCAGGCTCTCTGTTTCATGTAACGTATGGTTTGACCCCAACCAGCTCTGATTAAATACAAAAGGGTCACTCAGCTGAATAGGCTTTATGTACAAAGAGGTAAGCAGGAGTGCAGCTTATGAAACCTATCACCCAATCTTATGGATCTGTGTGTAGCTGCCAGAATTCACTAGATCCATTTTCAGAGTGTGTGTTGTGTGTTGTGTGTGAGTGTGTGAGTGTGTGTGTGTGTGAGAGAGAGAGACTGACTGACTGACTGACTGACTGACTTTGAGATGCAGTAAAGGCCAGGTAGCTTCTTTGTAATGTTTCTATCCTTGAATGAAAAAGGAAAGAGCTGGCGTGGTCCCAAAGATTATAGAAATGCAAGAATAGGTGATACGTACTTTTTATTGAGCCAATAAAAATTTAAAACAAATAGCAAGCTTTCATGGATGAAATCCCCTTCATCAGGCTCAAAGCACATCCCCTTCATGGATGGTGCAGAAAAATTGTCCAGAACTTGATGTCACATATCTGGGAGAGATAATCAGTTCTTCTTATGAGACTGGGCCTCTTAATGTCTCTGTAGCAAAGTTTGGAACTGTACCCTAATATTACTTATACTGTACAGTGGCTATAAACTGGCTTTGATTTAACTTGATAGAAAAGTCTAATATAAAACAAAATAAATAAACAAATCCACTCATTTT